CGCCGGCAGCGCCGGCCGCCTCTTCCCCTCGTGCCAAGCCGGGGCTTCCCCCAAAGTGACCTACACCCCATACCCCGAGGACTACGGGGACATCGAGATCGGCTCCCACCGCAGCTCTGGCAGCAGCAGCACCAATCTGGGGCCACCGGCAGCGGGTGGTGGTGGGGGAGATGATGACGGCTACATGCCCATGACCCCTGGTGTGGCCGCAGCCTTAGGGCAGGGAAGCCGGGGCAGCGATGATTACATGCCCATGAGCCCCACCAGTGTATCTGCCCCCAAGCAGATCCTGCAGCCCCGGACAGGAGTGGGGAGTGGGTCCCCTGGGAACGGGAGCAGCTACAAGACCAGCTCACCTGGGGAAAGCTCCCCTGATGATAGTGGGTACATGCGAATGTGGTGTGGTTCCAAGCTATCTGTGGAGAGCTCAGATGGAAGACTGAGTAATGGAGACTATATCAATATGTCCCCTCGGGACCCCCAGCATGGGCCCCATGTTCCCTCCCTTACCCCCCCCGACTTCTTTTTTGCCCCATCAGGGCATGGGTCCAGTGAGCCCTTAAAGCCCGGCTGCTATTCATACAGTTCCTTACCCCGCTCCTATAAGAGCCAGGGATTGGCGAAGGACAGCGACCAGTATGTCTTCATGAACTCCCCGGGGAGGATGATCCCGGAGGAGGCGGTGTGTGGAGTGGACCAGTCGCCTGCCGGCACCTTCACCCCCTCCAGCCACATGGTGCCTTCACCCCTGCGGCACAGCCGGACTGAGAGCTTCCTGAGCCAGCGGTGCCAGCGGGCAGCCCGGCCCAGCCGCCTCTCTTTGGAGACCTTGCGGACGGTGCTGCCCAGCATGAATGAGCACCCTCTGCCGTCTGAGCCCAAGAGCCCTGGTGAATACATCAACATTGACTTTGGGGATGCTGCTGTCTATTCTCCCCCCTCGCTGCCTGCTGACAGCCCAGCCTCCTCCCTGGGCTCAGGCACGGGGCAGAGGCGCTCCCCGCTTTCTGACTACATGAACATGGATTTTGGGTCACAGTCACCCTCCCAGTCAGGCACAGTCTCAGTGGGCTCCTTGGAAGCTCTCTCACCGAGCTCTTCTTCCAGCACCAGCCAGCCCAATGGGCGCTACCTGAAGGCGGCTGTGGGGGTGGCTTGTTCATCCAGCCCATCAGATGGTGGGGATTACACTGAAATGACCTTTGGCATGGCCACCACCCCACCCCAACCCATCGTTCAGAAGCCAGAAAGTGCCCGGGTCACAAGCCCCACAGCTGGGGTGAAGAGGCTCACCCTCTCTGGGGTAGAGGCTTTCATTCTCTCAAGCCCTCCCCCAGACCCAAACCGGGGGGCCAAAGTCATCCGGGCAGATCCTCAGGGGCGGAGGAGGCACAGCTCAGAAACTTTTTCCTCCACCACCACTGTGACCCCAGTGTCCCCTTCCTTCGCACACAACCCCAAACGACACAACTCGGCCTCAGTGGAGAATGTGTCCCTCAGGAAAAGCGAAGGCCTGGAGGAGGAGCAGGGTAGCAGTCCCATGTGCCGTGAGACCTCAGCTGGCTTCCAGAATGGCCTCAACTACATTGCCATTGATGTAGTGGATGGGTCCCTGGCAAACTGTGACAAATCCAGGTTGAAAGCCAGGCACCTCCTGAATGGGGGCATCAATGGAGTAGAGATGAGCGCCTATGCCAGCATAGACTTTCTGTCTCACAACCTGAAAGAAGCAAGTGCTGTGAAAGGTGAGTAGCTACGTCTGACAGTGCTTGCTGTGTGTGTTTGTGCCTACTGTTTGCCATCACAGCGTTGTGTGTTTGTCGTGTAGAGCACTATCCCTCCTTGCTTCCTTAGAAATCACTCTTAGCCCCCTTTTACACATCCTGTAATAAGCAGTTTTAGAGGAATTTGGTGGCTCTTTATATGAGAAAAAAGGTTTAATTTTGTGATATTTCTTCATGTTTCAGTTCTACTGTGCTATTATTATGAGTGTATACTTCTGGGTATCCCAATAGAAGCTGATGTTTACACAGTTACTATGTTTGGGCTGTCTTTCAGTTTTCTTACATAAAATTTTGGAAGGTGTTTGGAAAATGTGACCAAAATAGTTCATGTTAATGCAGCTTCTGAATACTACTTAAAAATGTAAAATGATTGACTTAAAACCAGGATTGTCTGGCTGAGGACATCAGATTACAAAAACAATCCTTGGCTCTCTAGCTCAGAATGTCTGTAATATCAAAATGAGAAAGATAAATTTAATACCATGGTTTTGAAATACCTCCTCTCTTGCAAAAGTTTAACAGTAAATCATAGTAAGCATGGAATGTAAATTTAAAAAAATGTAATAATTCTTTCCAGAAGTCACTATATGCTTGAGCTGTTACACGTTGTATCACACATTTAACTTAAGGGCCCACCCTGACGGCTCAGTCCCAGCATGGATGACCAGTTGGTTGGCTTGCTTCTGTATGGATTGTAAATGTTTGGTGTTCAAAGATAAAAGCAAATTGAAGAACTCTGAAACTTTGTGTGAGAGACAATTTAGGTTTTAAGTATGTAGCTGTTCCTTTATTGGGGTGCTGGTTATGCTGTTGAAAGAAAAAATAAAGCAAAGAAACAAATACCTTCCCTTCTCCCCAAAATAGCAACTCACTTCCCCTCAGTGAGTGAGAGTTTGTGCACAACTTGGGGGCTGGTTGAGGAGGGCACAAAATAGCCAATCTGTCAAGGAGAAAAAGTTAATGATAAGACACCATTAGGATTCCCTCGGCTCTTGAATTTATGGAAGACGTGGTAGCTTAAAGCTCTGTGCATATATAGCTGTAATACATGTTTATGGGTCTAGCTGGGTGAAATGACATACGAAAAAGTAGCTGCTTGTAGGGGGATAAGTATTGCTTCTGTATTCACGGTGCTACAGAGGCATCAATAACAAGTGAACAGCAACAGCTTGTAAAAGCCACTTGCAGGTTTTTTTTCCTTGTGTTTTCTTAGTAGCTAGTTGATTTTGAAGAAGAAAATATTTTCTCTTTTGATAGGAAGTACAGGAAGATGGAAAAGATGAGAGATCCACCGTTTGCAGAGCAAGCTTTGAACCTAATTAAGACGAGAGGATTGTTGAATGCAATGTCAGAGTTTGAAAGGATGAAGGCTTATTCTGAATGACTGGAGGGGTTGAGGGCAGAGCCTTATTTGTGTCTTGCTTTTAGTTTTGCTGGGGTCGTTTTCAGGATCCCTGTGGCTTGCCCGAGCCCGGTGTGGATGCTGCGGCCCCCGCTCTCCTTGCCCGGCCTTGGGATGGCGTTGCCGGGCGCCAGCAGACGATCACGCCCCTTTGCTTTGCAGACGGATTTTTCACAAAAACGAGGAGCTTTTCTTGAGCCACCTACAGCCCCAACTGCAAACCAAGCCCAGTGTTGGGAAAGAGCTATTTCCACAGCATTCCCCAAACTGCTAACCCTAAGGCGGGAGGAGGGGGGCGGAGAGGCGGGCCACCGGTTACCGGGAAAACCCGGCTCGGGAGGCGCGGCCGGCATCCCGGCGGCACGCGGGAATGGGAGAGGCTGTCGGTCAGATAAGGAGGGGGGAACGACCGCGGTCCTTCCCGTCCAGTAAACAAAAGGATAACGCAGCCGTGTTAATGTGGTACTCGGCGTACAGCGGAGAGGGCTCAGTGCTGCTGCATGTGTTTGTCCAAGGATGGTTATAGGCTTGCCTTATTTTAATATTTAATCTGCATGCGTGTTTGTTTTTCCTCTTTCCCGTAAGCTTTTAAACGCAGGTCACGTGGAGAAGTGGTGCGGGGAGGCTCGTTGGGATTGACCGGCTCTGTAGGAGGTGGGCGGAGATTCTCCAGCACCTCGCTGCCCTGAGAGGGGTGCCAGCCTGTGGGGTGCACTCAGGGGTACAGGGATAAATGGATGTAACCAGAGTCAGGCCAAAGGTGATAAGGAAGAACCTCACACCACCAGCATCCTCAGCCAATGGTGTGCAGGGTTGGGTACCAGAATTGAGGCATCAGGTTAATTGCACTTTTGGCAGTCAAGCTGGGAAAGTCATACCATGGGGAAGGAGAAATACATCACAAAGGACTTGATCGGTATAAGTTGAATGAAAGCATAAACTTCCGCAAATTTCCTAGTTTCCCTTTTGGTTTTCGTTGGGATTTCACATCAAAGTTTGTTTACAGAAGGACTTCTGCTACCATTTAGAAAGGTCAACTAGTATTGTACTAATGTATTTGAATTTCAAACATTTTGATTTGGGAGACTACTAAGAATTTCATGTTTTATAGAGAAACACATGCTTTAAAGAAAACAGTATTTTGCAGGTAAGCAAGATTATTATAACATTAGTCATGCAGCAGGTTTGAGAAAATCTAATTCTGTAAAAATGGTTCGTACAGGAGAGAGCTTATATAATCAGTGTTGTTTGTTTAGTTGTTTGCACTGGTTTTGAATTGTTTTTAACTATATTAGAAAAGTGAGAAGCTTTACTTCTTCAGAAACCAAGTGTGGCTCCTAGTAATTTTAAAACAATGGAGAATCCACATATATTTAATATTTAGAACAGGAGGCTGAGATACAGACTATACGGACAAGCCCGTTGTAATTACCTTCTTAGTAAATTAACATTTGATTTGTGTAAAATACATGTAAAAAACAGTTTGAATTCTTCCTTAAGGTTTGTAGCAGTACTTGTGTTTTCATGTGGATAAATGTTTTGAGGGAAACTAATTGTATCATTTGAAGGTGGCTGGCTTTCACATGTAGCTTGTCTCTACTATCTGTAGCTTGCCTCTGCTTTTGGAAATCTCTCTCCATATTATCCTGTTGTGATAGAAGCAAGGAGTGCATCCACAGCTGATGTCAAAACAGAACAGTTAAAAAGTTGCTTAAAATTATAGTTTCATTTAGTTTTACTGTGTTCTGAAAATGTGAAAATATTTAATAATTGGAGAAACAATTGCCTTCATCTGAAATGTAAATAAAATAATACTGTTACTGGTTGGTTAAAGCTTGTTACTTGCTAATGATTAGCCTTTGTTCTTAAATTATGACTGCTTTTTTGCTTAAAAACATGTGAACCATGTATGGATTTAATTATTTATGGAGATGTTTACACTGTTTTTTTTCATATAGTGCAAATTATTTATTCCAGTATATTTATGAGAGATTATACACAATAATGATGTGACTTTTTATAGTGGATCTTAGTTCTCTTGAAGTCAAATGGTAGTTTTGTCTCTGTCTTAATGGGGATTTTACTGTTTGTGTGTATTCCTGAAATTCTTAAGATTCCTATTAAATTTAGTGAATGTATAATAGGGAATTTTGCTTAATTGAAACCACCAGAATTGGGTGGTTAATCTTTAATTTTGTTTTCTTTTCCATTCACAGAGTGCTCTGTACCTTTAAGTTGTAAATGTTTCTAGTAGTTGGTCTAGTTTTCTAAAAATGGGCAGATACTATGTGTAATGGTGCAAAAAAAGCTGAAGGTTCTTTTCCTCCTGTGTTAGTTTCTTTTGTCTTGATTTGTTTAAAGAAGTCATCATCTGTAATGCATCTACTTAAGATCATAATAAGGTGATTTTTGATAATCATGACCCCCACTCCTGCCTTGTCAATTAGCTTTCAGTTTTGTGAGGGTTTTATGGTTGCACCTAAACAATAAAAACCTATCTTAAGAAATCTCTTCTTGTGTCTTTCTAATGCCATTTTAGATTGTTAAAGAAATAACCTTCGTTTCCTTTTTCTTTGGGATTACTTTGCACAATGAATTATATTACTAAGTCGTTTTTTTCCTTCCTCTTCATATGCCAGCTACCATAAAGTTTTGGTTCTCAGAGCAACATGAGAATGTTTAATTGTCTCTTTAACAAAACTAATATTAATTGTAAAATTACTTCTTCAAAGTATTAAAATATATGCTGTGTTAGAAATCTATACATTTTTAAAGTCTTTTTTTTTAATAAATCAGTTGTAGTAGTTTCTCTTACTGTAAAGTTCTGTGAAAACATCAAAACTAACAACAGGAAGAACTGAACTACTTTTAATAACTTACATAGTTTGATTATTTAACTTACAGTTAGAATTAAAAATTTGAGAGTTTTTTTTACAACTTGTCAAAATTCACTTATTGTCTTTCAGATAGCATTTTCCAGCTGACCAGTTGGTCAGGTCTGAATGCTTAGGTCTGAACCTAGCAGTACTACTTGTGAAACATGAAATATAAACTGAAATTATCTAAGATTAAATTAAGCCTTTGATATTTTAAATTATGTTGATTATAGGGACGTCAGCTTTTTACAAACAGATAGAATATTAAAATGTGTGACATCTATTAGACTTTTTTTCTTTATACTTTAAATTATGTTTAGCTATACTGCTCATAGAAAGAATGTCATGGTTACTTTGAGTCATTTAAGATAAAGTGTTATAGACCAAGTTGAATGGTAGGTTTGTTCTAAACTGAACCAGTACAGTCATTGCTTAAGGCAGAGGAAATGCTTTAGGTTGATGATTGCTTCTGATTACTTGATTTCTTTCAAGATAGCTACAGAGACTAATGTTGGTTTGTAAGTAATAAGAATAAAGGAGCGTTTGAACAGAAAAAGTATTAGGACATGTTTTATATGGTGGTGTTCTTTATGTTTGGGTTTTATTAATAAGGAGAGAATAACGTGTTTCTTCACACTTGATTTACTGTTATTTTTAAACAGCATTAATTACACTGGAATGCTGAAGTGGTTTATAAGTTGAAACACAGCAAGCATCCACTGAAAAATTTAGCTAGTGTATGTAATCTAACTTCCCTCCCTATTCAATAGCTAAATGGCAACATAGTCACATCCAGATATTTCCTGTCTATATCAGTTTTTATCTAAAAATGAACAGATATTATGTGTATTAATATATTTCTTTTTAAAGTAATAAACCTATGACTTTTTTCTTCTGATTTTGTTGAAGTATAGTATGCTTTTTGTACTGTTTGTCCATATGTTGTTTTCTTTGTGTTCGTTGTGTTAGTCATGATATAGTCCAGTAGTTTTGTGAAAGTTTTAACATTAGGTTGGTGCAGTATGTGTAATAGCAATTTAAAGTGAATATATTGACTGATTTGATAAATTAGGACTTGTAATTATGAGGGTTTCACAAACGTTTTTGTTGTAGTTTCATAAAAAGTTTGCTTGAAGGGATCTGTGTAAACACAGAAGTCAGTAGTATTCCTTGAGTTTTTAGAAGGCCGTGTAGAGACCCCAAAGTTCAGATATGTTTTCTTTGTGTGTTTGTTGTCTGGCATATGGTTATTTTTAAAGTTTTTGTGCATAGGGGGTCAAGAGTGGCAGCTTTGAAAAGCCAAGTTCAGCTGAGTAGTCCCCTTGCTGCTGGTTGTTGAAAAGGCTGGCTTTCCTACTACAGACTTTCCAAGGGAAAACTTTTTTTGTGGTTTTTTTTGTGTGTGTTGTTTTGTTGTTGTTTGTTTTTTTTTTTACACTTGCGTTTGTGTCAACTGCCTTTAGCTATCCAGCATGTTGGCTTCTTGGATTAGTCAGTCTGCCAGGCACTCTTGAGAACATGCAGCAGTAAACAGAGCCAGCAAAGGTGACTGCTCCCGCTGTCTTTTAAATGCAAGTTATAAAGCAGCATGGATTTTTCCTCTACATCTCTGTCAGCTTTGGAGGAAACCAGGATTACTGGTTTAGATTGTATTTGCAGGTTCCACACTAATATAGGCAGAATGAATCCCTCAGTTGCAGGGCTGTAAGTGTTCATAGTTAAAACAAGCTTTTAAGACTTAGATATTATAAGCCTCATCCAAACCGCAGAGAAATCAATGCAGAGATTTTTACAGAGGATCACCTAAAAATACATTTCATGGAGTGTTAAAGTGCTAACATATATAGTAACATTTGAGGCTCACTCAAAGACAGCAGTAGTTTGTAATCTCTGGATTGCCAGTGAAATGGTAATGAGTAATTTTCCTGAAGAATAGGTAAGTGCCTGCATATTTCTATGGAGTTGTACTAGTGCTTGGTAGCTGAGGTGACAAATTGGCCACTAAACTAGGACTGTTTAGGAGAGTTGTTCAATCTGATGATAAAAAATGCCTTTAGAAATTGATTTAAAAGACCAAAGGCAATACTTGGAGTTCTGTTACTACTTTTGCTTTAACAAATAGTTTTCAAACAGAGGTTCTGAATTTTTTATCGATGATAATGACCCCAAATTGTGTGTAGGTGCATCAAAAATAGTAATTTTAAAAAACGCAGTTCTTGTTCTCAGTAAAGGGCTATACACTCTGGAAAGAGATATGTTATGAGCTAACAGTGGGAAGATACTTTCCAGAATAAACATCTTTGATACTAGGATGTTGTTTTTTTTTTTCAAATCCAGAATTGCCCTGTCTCGATTAAATAAAAGTTACTTTAGAGTGTGTTTTTTACCTCAGTAAATCAATCACAAAAATAGGAAAAAAACCAACCCTAGCCACAAACCTAACTCTCCACCTCTGATGGTAACATCTACACTGCAGAAGAGTAATGCAATAGCTTTATTGCATAGATTAGGAGTGATTCAGTGTTTCGTTTACATTATTTGTCAATCTCTTCAGCATCCTGGAGGAGAACACTTCCTTCCTGGCAGATGGCAGCCCCAGGGCCATGCACCTGCCATTACAAGCACTGTGCAGTAGTAATCTACCCCAGCATCGCTGTTGACAAGAGGCTAATGATTAGAGACTGTCTGCCTGACAGCCTAAACAAAATAAGAACGTATTTGCCCTTCAACAAGAGGCTGAGAAATCTTAGGCAGGACAGTCAGGACAGTATGCTGAAAAATTATAATGGAATTTAGATTAGACCTCTTTGGTAGTGTTTTTAGTATGAGCCACTTTTAAGATAATGATGCTTCAAAAAGCAGTGTCTCAAAGAAGGGATTTTCTGCTTCTCTGGCAGAGTGATAGCTGGCTTTATATTAATAGCTCAGTGTTGATGGGAGGAAGGCTTGGGCTGGTGTGATTTAGCTGGCTGTACCACTATCCTCTGCGGCATAGTCTGCCCTCGCTGCAAGCAGGGAGTTAGATGTGCTTGCGCTGGCAAATGAGGCCATAAGCAGTGTTAGAATGACAGAACGTCTCTTTAATTGTTTGAATGGCACATTTGGTGCTTGCATAATGCATTCCCATTTCAATAATTTGATTTGTAATTTGATATGTTTTTATTATGTCATTAGACCGGGATCTCTTACTTTATTTTTTTGTTCATTTCTGTTATGCATATGTGTGTGTTTGCTTTTCTTCTTTGAAACTAGTGTGGGCGATGTTTCTAGGGGACACTACCCAAGGCAAGGGTATCTTTGAACTAGGCCAGGATGTTCTTTGCTAAATTTAAAAACTACCCAAATATTACCCAGAGTTTGTAGGGTATTAAGCAGGATTACATGACGCACGGATTAGACATTGTTGAGCAGCTTGTTTTTGTTGAAGGGGTCAGAAATGGAGGCACTGGGGCTTTAGTGTGATGCCAAAATAGCAAACTTGCTGATAATCAGAAACAGCAGAAGCTTCTTAGAAACAGTAGAGCACTGTGGAGAGTTTTCCAAGCTTTTCCAAGTGATGCTCTAGTAAAGTTTGTTTGATATGTGCCGTGATGATGAGTGTAAGGTATGAAACTTATTGTTCCATTGAGTTTCAATTTACAGATCTGTTTTACAGATATCTTAAAGTAGACTAAGAACATGACTATAAGTGGAACGTGAGGCAGAGGACTTTGATTCTCTTCAGTCAAAGACAAATCAATAAATCATTCCAGTAACAGTGGGAAAATCATGTTAATGAAATAAGATCTAAGCAGTTTTAGATTTGCCTCTTGCATTGTTTCCTCCGAGGCAGTATATTATTTAAAAAACAGTGTTTAAGGCAGTCATAATGTCCAGTTTAACACCTCATTAAATTGATTAGCATTGTTAAATTAATGTATGGAATGAGAATTAGGAAGATTTTTTTGTTGTTGTTTGCTTTGGATCGAGGCTTTTGTTCAATCAGTCTTGTGACTTCTGGTGACCAAGGCATCTGACAGTCTTTTGGGGCAGAGTTAGACTTAACTCTTACATAGAAAGCAGTGATGTTGAATAGTTGCTCAAGAACAAGAAAACAATAATGACTTTGGCTTAGTCTTACTTCTCTGATGAAGATAACTGAGGCTATAGAAACTTATTTGCAGTAACTGGTAATGTTACATTTCAGCATTATTTAAAAGAATTAGGGTAAAATTGGCAAGCAGACACAAACCTCATCAGTTTTCCAGTTAATACAAAACTCTTTTACATCACCGAGTTGACTGCTTCAACTACCGTGGTCTCTCCCATGCTTGAATTACGGAGAAGTTCAGGTGTGAATTTCTTCTGTAGTCTTTTTACTGGTTTCTCGGATACTGATTTTTTCAAAAACTTCAGGAAGTGCTTTTTAGTTTACTTTAAAAGGCAGACCAAAAGTTAGGTGATGTGTCTAACCAAAATTTTCACTTACACCTAAAAAAGACTTTTGGTGACACAATTATGAGATTTGGAACTGAAAGGTGGAGGTAAAGTTCTTCTGTAAGGCAGTTGCACTCAATTGTGTTCTAACACCATTCATTTTTACATCATAAAAGTTTGGAAAAATTTATATGAGGATGGACTTGCATCTTTTACA